CAAAATCTCGCATAAAATATCTTTTTATAGGGAATTATCATAATCTCACTTGGAATTAGCACGTGTATTTAGAAATAAAAACCTAAATTCATCGGAATTGGCATAATGGAGAACCTTTGAGTTCAAAGAAACATATACGTACTACAAGTCTCGAAGTGATGATGTACGGATCAAGTTTATGTTGGTTTTGCATTAGTGTTTTAAGTGTTAGTTGTCCTTTTCTTGTAGACAATGCCATTGTCAGAGCTAGGGCTCATTGTTATATCATGTAAATATTGGGTATAATCCGAGGCAGTTAATTAGTGTATCGAAGTTTTTCTTATCTCTGTTTTGTAAGCTTGCCTCTTATCCCACTACAATGGGCAAAATGATTATATCTAAAGAAAATCGAACAAATTTATTGCACAAATGTGAAATCTAAACGAAATCACTGACGAAACAACTGGAAAATAAAACACCCATTAACACCTTAAGTGGTTTCCCAAGTTTTTAGCCTCAAAAAGACTTAGAATTCGGAAATGATTTCAACACACAACTGCAGCAAACACATTTGATAATCCCATTCCTCTGATGTATCTCAAAATTATGAAAGAAAATCGTATGAAGGTTGAGATGATCATTAGTCAGCGCCAAACGGACTTGTCTTTAACAGCGATTCCACTGCCTTCTTTCTTACCTCTGCTTCCTTCATAATCGACCGTCCATTTCTCGAATGTACAATTAACAAAATCATAGTACCCGCCATGTAGTGACAGTGATCCTTTCCGCACTTTCTCTTCTATCCACGGGTAACCAAGCAGCCTTTCTAATGAATGATTCAACGACGCCTGCACATTTATATATTATGTATAAGTTCACCGAGTAATAGAAGATATAAGTTTTACTGATTAACAAAAGACATCACCTTTTCACAATGTTGGCATTGATGATCAAAATGGAGGTTTGACGCAACAGCTTTCGTGCTTTCCTTTGCCTTCTTCCCCACAATTACCCAGTTTTTTATGAAACTACTGTTAACATAAGGGAAATGCAATATAGCCAAGATCAACAATTAATTAATTGGTTTCTTTTTCTCGATAGAATGAATCAAGAACTAGTAAAAACCTGGAATCTTCTTCATCTTCCATGCTCATTAAAGCTTGAATTCCTCCACAGCGGCTATGACCAATGACTAAGATGTTCTCCACCTACAAGTTTATCAATGAGACAACGAATGTATATATAAAAGATGTATCTACACATTATGTTTATGCAGTGTATGTTTCCTTAAGATTTGAGTTTTTTTTCTCAGTGGTACAAGTTCTTTATAAGTGAACCAAAAGAACCAACTCTGTAGAATGCTAATTTCATGAAAGAAACAGAAGAATCCTAAACGGTCTAAACTGTGGACAATCAACATTTCTTAAGATAAATGGAAGAATTTTTCTGTTAGAGTGTTTCTTAAGAACTAATGCTCTGCAGTTAAAACTTGAAACACAGATATACGTTTCACGAATATGTTTTATTTAAGGGATGTATGTATCTTAGAAAGACAGTTAGAGATAAGATAGATACTTACATTTAGAACGTTCACCGTGAACTCGAGAGCAGCTTTTGTTTCAGTAGGTCCAGACTGCAACAGGCAAATGCAACTAGATCAAACGTGAACCAGCCCGTAAACAAAAATCGTGGTCTAGACTAAAATTGTATACCTCATATGGAGGTACTAAATTTGCAATGTTACGAACAGTGAATGCTTCACCCGGTTGAAATCCCAGGACGGCAGAAGGACAAACCCTTGAGTCTGCACAAGCAATCACCAGAAACTGTTGCTTACACTGTTAGCAACACAATTCCTTTCTCCATACAAAAACTAAATCCATGAACAATAAGCTTTTGTTGAGTGTAAACGCTACCTTTGGAGCTTGAGCATCTGCTAGATTTTTGTAGTGTTCAAAGTTATCCCTGCTCAAGAAGTATCATCACCATCGAATAAGATAACAGAAAGTCAATAAAATCCTCCACAAACTGAAGAAATAGGTTCTCTCTGCCGCTTACATGTACTTAAGCTTCTTGAAGGCAAGGAACCGCTGTTTCATGTCGTCAAATACATCAGTTTTATTATCTCTATCAACTGTAACATCACATGTACGGTCATTAGCTTCCTGAGTCAGTCCAGATGTCTTTCCTGTAGCCATCATTCGCAAGTTTGCAGATTTTCCTCTGCAAACACCACAATAGAAACCAAATCTGAACATTTTGAATATCACAGAACATGTCCACAGAATCATTTTCCATTTGAAGCAACAGACAAAACATCATCTCTTGTTTGTAAATCTTAAAAAGACACAAAAGAGATTCAAACAAAGAACAATGCATCACTGTCTGCTTCACCAGACAGAGTAGCAATCCCAAAACTGAAAAAGTCACTAAAGCTCATAAATTACCTGAAAGAAGCCGGAATTTTCAATTGGGTTTTCTTTAAATTGTCCTTAGAACCGAAGATCTGAATCAAAAAATGCAACAGGATTAAACAAACCCATGATCAAAAATTCGGAAGAAAGAGAGAGACTTTATTGACACATACCAATTGGGATTGGAGATTAGTGAGAGAGGTGGAAGAAGAAGAAGAAGGATCATGGGAGATAGAGAAGCGCGTGGGAGTGACTGCCATGAAAGAGAGGTGAAGAAGAAAAGAAAGTTTGTAAAGCTTGGGTATTTGGAATCTGGAACAAGAACAACAACAAGTCACAAGGCATCTGAAGAAAGCTCATCTGAAAAAAGAGGAAGAGTTTATGGAAATTGAAAATTAAAAAAAAATATATTTTTTTTTTTTGGAAAGAAGTGGATGCGAATGCATGTCTCCAACAAAGACGGAGAAACCAAAGTTTTTGTGTCGTGTCAGTTTTGGACCCCACAGTCAAAATTCCTTATGTAGTTTTAGCTTTTCTTACCTTAATGCACCAAACATTAGGAAAAAATAAATCAATGGTTAAACATTGATTAAGTAATTTGCAAAGTTGTATTAGCATGTATGTTTAGATTACAGAAGCAATTGCATATGGTAAAAAATCTGGCATACAGTAAAAAATCTGGCAGTAATTTGGAGGAAAAAATCCCAAAACAAACCTCACCTTTTTTATCCAACTGACCCAAATTTATCCATTTTTAGCCTTTTCTATGTTCCGTTACCCCTGGCTTTAACATTTCTGTAAATATCTCGTTTCTGTCATTTTCTAAGTGAAAAAACAGCATGAAGTTACTTTGAGGAGAAACAAAACAGCATGATGTGTAAGCAGATGACGAAACAATCCCCAATTACACCCATAAGAAACCCTAATTCAATTTCCGTAGATAAACCCATTAACAGAGAATGAACAATGGACATGATAACATCAAACCAAACCTAATTCGAACCATCAAAACACTTAATCGAAACCAAAACCTTAATTGAAAACTGAAATCGGACAAAACTCTAACATGAGGTCTGACCTAAATCGGGGAAGGAGAAGAAGAAATCTCCGATCACGGTGAAGAGTTCTCCGGGAAGAAGAAGTAGATTCCGAGTTTTATCCGTTGGTCTGAGGGATTAACCGGTGAAGGAAGTTGTCGCCATCTCGGTGTCGTTTCTTCTTCTTTTTAACAAAACGGATCGTTTTATCATTTATGTTAACTGACCAAACGGCCGCGTTCAAGTATGGGTTATTTTTGGTAACCAAATGAAGATCAGGCTTTGAAATTGGATAAAATTAAAAGTTCAGGGTCTTTTCTTAAGTTTTGACTTGGTAGTTAGCTTCTCTTGTGTGGGAATTTTTCAATTTTTTTTTATAAGAAAGATGTATAATAAACTCCTGAATACAACTGTTCATAATATGAGATTTTTCTCTCTATTACAAACAAATCCATTCACATAAAACGCAGTGTTGAAACTATAACATTCGAAATGAAACTTGGTGTATTTTATACTTATCAACTTAATCTACAAATCTTAGTTTGATATAGACCAAAAGCTGTCATAACTCTTTTAGCTTTGATCAACAAAATGCACAATCATCCTCTTATACCACCCTTTTTAATACATACAAAAACAATCTATCCTTCGGAATTTTTGATTCGATGTTCTTCATATATCGTTGCGATGATGATGACCATCTTCTTGGCTACAAGAACTTATAGAACATGTCTTCAACAAACTTTCTTTCTTTCTTTTTCACAATCAAGAAACTTACTTTAATGAGCTTTTCTTTTATTCTTAGCAATGAAACTACTGGAGAGATACTACTTACCACCAAAAGAGATAGATCTCTTTAAGAAACTTGACCTCCCAACAATGGAAGATCCAATATTCCCCCTCTTTTCCTTTTCTCTACCAACAACAACAACAACTTCCCTTACCCTTAAATCCAAAGACACTGATCGTCTCACTCTTTGTTGCTGCCCCGACTCATCTGCTTCGCCATGATCTCTAATAATAGTACTACTAACAACAAACCCATCTCTTTCTTCTTCGTGATCTCTCTCGATTCCTTCATCGATTTCTCCATTTTCCTCTGGAATCATCACACGGATCTCCTCTAAACCTTCACTATGATCATCATCATTCGCCGTGATAGGAGCACGACAAAGTGGGCAATTCGTGTGTGATCTAAGCCAAGTATCAATACAAGAAAGATGAAAAGCATGTTTACATTTTGGTAACAATCTAAGCGTTTCTTCTTCTTCGAATTCGCTTAAACAAACCGAACAATCCGTTCCTTCAACAACACCATCATTTTTACTATACTTACAAACTTTGATCGAGCTTATAACACTTGGATTCAAACCGATTGTTCTGATATGCCAAATCGGATGATCGATGATAACTGGTGTTGAACCATCGAAATCATAATTCCTAGCCTCTTCTTCCATACTCCATCTTCTTGATATTGCTATGGACCTTCTTCTATAGTAAAACTTGAAGAAGAGAAGAAGGAAAGCAAGTAGAAACAGAGTTGTGAGGATAGACGAAGCCGCGATGATTACGAACCTCTTTACGTCATCTTCTTGGTGAATCACTTGAGGTGGAGATAGATCTGTAACGACGCAGATTGAAGGACACATGTAAAGACAAGAGGGTGAACAAGTTCCTAATTTTTTCAAATCTTTGAGGCAATTCGATACACAGAGCGAGTCCGGTAACGTTTCGTTGGCCTCATCCTCCGATAGGAATCTGTGAAGGAACCTCATGATTCTTGCTTCAAGATCATCAAGAAGCTAGAGAGAAGAGAGGAAAAAGAAAGAAAAAAATATGTTTGATTCAAAAGTCTTCGTCTTTGTTATCTCTTTTGTTTCCTTTTGTTTAGAATCAAAAGTTTGGTCAGCAAAAGTAGGTTGGACGGTATCTATCACTTTTAATTTCACCAAATTGATTTTTCTCTTCTTTTTTTTTGATGCAACAGTTTTTACTGTAAAAAAATTTACAAACAAAAAACGCAATTTCGT